TATCACTTATCGTGCAAGTCTTTCCACGGAGTAGACATGACGCAGCTATGAAGCACAGCCAGAAGCCTTTGGCATCAAGGTAACCTTCGAATCGAGGGTAAGGACATCTATCCGGTGTAATCACTGCAGTCGGCTTGGGTGCTACTCGTGTAGTGTCCTAAACGGTCACTGTAGATCCTTTATGTTCGGGAGATTCCAGCGTTTCTTTGCCCTCTGGTGGTGTGGCCCAATAGTGAATATTTTTCTTGCACGATCCCGGTTATGGCACTAACGCCTTTTTCTCCAGAGGCGTATTTCTCACTGATGGGAACTGCGAGCTTAATCTCATCTCACAGTCAAGGTTTCAAAGCTACGGTATCAAGGGAGATTCAGGCGTTACACCTACTTTCTACCGGGGAAACAAGGCATAGTGCGATGCGCAGATCCCATGGACACTGTAGAGACGTTCTCAGCATCGACAGTGTAATTTACCACCAGAGTATCACGCTATTGAACTGGGTCAGCGGCAACGCCTTATCTGAATTTCGTCGAGTCCAGCGTCTCCCCTCGTCCCGTCCTCGCCCTTTTGGAGATATTGAATTACGGGGGTCGTTATGTTGTAATGACCAATGCGATTCTCCCAGTCCAAGGGATAGTCATCGCACTTGAGACGCTCCATCTTCGATTGTTCAGGGATAACCTTTGTACTAAGGCTCTTACGTCCCGGTGGAATGTACCTGAACGAGTCCGGTAATCTGCAGATAATCGAATAGATGGCGATCATCATGAACCGCCATCGACACGGACTTCACGTTACATCATGTGATAAAAGTACGTCCTTCATCGTCATGAACCGCAAGACTGGTGGGAATTTCGGACCCTGACTTTCTATCAGGCGGGTGGAGGACCAACCACAGTACGTTCGGTAGCTTGACCTTCATACCCACGCTTATTTCCAATCCCTGATCACCTTGAGACTGCGGCGGAAATGGGGTTAAGTGCCTAAACGCAAACGGAAAAGCAGTCAATAATGTATAAGTAGTAGTCAAAGCTGTCGCATCCGAGCGAACCTCGAACCTATCCCGAAGTCACCATCTCTACCTTGACTTGGACCGACAAAACCAGTTGCATTGCTGTAAATGGTACACAAGATAAAGAACTCAGTCACCACAAGCTATTATGTGGTTAGGCTGCCAGACTTTAGTAATTTGGAGGTCATAAGCGGAGAAGAGCGCCCACATGCGTACGAAAGTTTCAGCCCCAAACCTCGAATACTCCAGGGATTTCCCTACCACTCCGATTGATAGCAAACATGACATATTATGATGAGGATAGGCAGCAGGCCTGGCAGCGATGGCATTTTACACGATGAGTTCAAAAATTTCCCTGAATTTATAGATATTGAACTTATAAGCTGCCAGAGCGCAGCTTATTTGGTAGAGAGGGTATGCGTTTGTCTAAAATTTGGGGAGCACTTTGTGTTCATAGAAGCGAGGTGGAGATATGTAGATGGTGTTGGAGCATCGTAACATCTTGAAGAGCAGACACGAAGACAAGGGAGAAGGTGAAGTTATTGCCGATAATGCCGGAATATTTCAAAGTCCGAATCAAGACCAGCTTGGCATTCAGCTTCATTACCATCATTGTCTGGCCTACGACTCCGTAGAGTGGTGAGTTGTTTCCGGTAATCTTCTGGTAGAACTTTACTTAAAGCGCCTTTACAGGAACCATGCAGTCCGACTCTTACAGCGGCAGAAGGCAAGCGGCCATGAGGGAACCACGCTCAACACCATGAAAATATTCACGATATGCGACTCTATATGAGAGAGAATCCTGACCGTGCATCGACCAAGACCATGGATGGGGACAGGACTGCGACGAAACCGTTAGGCAGCCAAGACTCGAGGTCAGCATTTTTCGTGAGCATATCTATGTATCTAATCATTTCTAGTCCAAGACAAAGCGCCCATTTATTTTCTTTGCTATTGATAACAGAGAAGGCGGTAGAAGGCACGATGAAGTGGGGACGTTAGATGACAACACCAGCTAGTACGTCACTTTCAAAGCTGACGTTGAGTCAGCACTCATCGGTTTGTCACCATTATAGCATCGTAACCTGCCCTCTTTCTATTCCTCAAAATGGCTTCCTTCTTCCTTGGCCAATGGCTCGTTCATTCCTACCGATTCAAGGTCATCCACCGGAGCAATGTTATCTCTTCAGCTAGAGCCAAGTTCCACTATGCCTCCCAGGAGCGCTCCCTTTTCATGAATGCGTCGCTAGTTGTTCCAAGCAACACATCATGGTCATCCCTCGCTTACTCCCGGTGTCCCACTCTACCCTTCAAGTTTCGAGCATTGTCGTCAACTCTTGGACCTTCATTTACCGGCAGGGCGGTGATAAGTGTACCGCAATGGTGCAAGATGATGCCACGGTAGCGAGGCCACGGTCGGGACGAGTCATTTTTGATAGACAAGAGAGTCTCCCACGACGGCCTCGGTAATGCATCAAATGCATCAAAACGATGGCATGCTCATGTCGCAGATCACAGTGAGTAGCGGGTGCTGCTGTCGAAGTACTCGAGCTCTAACAGTGACGATTCTGTAGTCTACCTAAGTCGTTTTCTGGATGCGCTCTAAGAGGCCCGTTTTGCAACGCATATCCATTTGGGCACCTATCGGATGCTGGGACTGCTTTCCTTGATATAGTTCAAATGTTCAATGCCTGTTTTTGGATTTGGGCCGTCTAGATCATCATTCCTTCTTCGGTACCGGTCCCAGCGCTCAACCTATGAGCAGAGCCACACACCATACTGCCACATCTTTGACCATTGGACTTGGCTCGAACAGAGGGCTAATACTTTCTTTCTTGTTCCTCCTCCCGGCTCTGACCAAAAAGACGCTACTTTTTGTGCAAGTGACAAGTATAACAGCACAAAATGGGTACTGGGATGGCGACGGTGACATCTGTATCTCTCATTCCTTCTTGGATCGCCGCAAGATGGACGGATAAAGGTGTTGTCGTGCTCACGATGCACAATGCTTCGCATAATGGTGGCTCTAGACATACGAGAGAAAAATGCCATTCCTTGGATGGGTAACGCATTGGCGTACACCCATGTTGGGACGACGTGGAATGCAGCAGGAAGACGACACTCTTTCGGCGACCGGAGCTTTTCAAGCCCCTGGTATAACCCTAACCTTACTGCTCCAGTTAAGGGATTTCGAGCCGACGCCCTTGGACAATGCTGCTTTCGACGTCGGCGGTCAACGCTCTGTCGCGCGCTGGTACTCGCATCGATAACTATTCTTCTAGAGGTAGCTCGTTGTCTTTGGCGACTGAGCGTAGCTGATGTCACTCTTATAGTACATGCAGATGAGTGTCCAAATATTGCACCATATAAATATCCCGACGCCGCGATATGCACGCCCTACATGACAAGTAGTTCCCAGGTGTCGCTTCCTATCGCATGGAGACCTATAAACTTCGTCTTTCCCTTTAAGTATACCAGCCTAGGAGCCATCTCTCGTTCCACCCCACCCGATGTACTGCGACAACTGTTAACCATCGCATCCTTCTGATAATTGAGGAGCGACGATGATGGCGATGCCGACGGCGACGGCGACCTCATAGGGTCGCGTATCTGCAACGCATGCCACAGTGTCTCGACAACGTCAGCGACCGTGACCCACTCTCGATCACCCGACCTCTGAATGACTATGGGCCATGGAAGCCTCGGGTGGATGATAGCCAGCGATGGAAGAGGCGGACTGGTTGCCACCTCCTTCTCGCAGCCTTCGTGACCAAGAACTCGTACGCTCGATAGACTGCGAGCGAAGTCTAGCTCCATCATCATCGAACTACGGCTCGGCCGTAACAGTGGATGGATTAGCATCGGGGTATTTTTCTCTGTCTGAGGCGGCAGCGGGATGTGACGATGGCGCGGTTTACCGAGGATGGGCGGCGAGGGCGACGGATTGGATTCACGTACATTTCCCATATACGACGTGCCGGGATTGGATAGATAATGGCGGCGAACAGGGACCGTCGTGGTCAGCTGGGCGTCTGCATAGATAGGCATAACGAAAGACGCCCTCGACGGGGTGGAGAACGCCGTTGCTGGTGATGAATACAGCTCTGGCGGCTCCCTACCCCGCTGTGTTGTCATCGTTGCCATGTCTTCTCGTTGGACGGGCATCGTCTTCGTCCCAGCGTCATTCATGGAACAAATAGCAAAAGAAAGGCCTTACAGATGAATAGAGAGGGTTTGGTTTACTCGAACCAATGCGGACGTGGGAGGAGGGAAGTGTGGAAGAGTGAGAGCGGGTGATGGTAGTGGTTTGAGGGAGAGTTGTAGGGGCCTAGGGAAGGATAGGGCTGCCTTATATATGGTGTGTCCCCCCTCCAGATATTGAATGCAAACCTAACCTCACTTTTCTTAGGGTTAGGATTCCGCTTATATCAAAATTAGCCGAAAGCTCTTTGTACCTGTCGAGCGCTCCTTACCAGTGATTTCAGCTTCCTAGTCGAAGAGTGCTCTGAGCTGTAGTTCAAGCTCCTGTCCTCGCTGTTTATCACTCCCCGGCCTTGAACCATGGCCTAGACCCCAAAACTATCATCGTGCAAAACGGTCAAACGAGGGGCGGATTTCAAAGCACCATATCGAAGGAAGATGACACTGGTGTTGCGGAGCACTCTTTAACCTATCGACTGCGAAGTGCGATGATGATTATTTCGTGACTTGGATTGTCGTCGATCCAACATCCCCAAGGGGAGGGGTTTCCTCGTCGTTTGCTCGCCCGTCCTCCCAGGCTGAGGTCCCATCGGGATGGCTGCTTACTGAACGACGACTAACCATGCATTCTCATCATGCAGCTCCTCAACTAGATCTCCGTGGAGTGGGTATATCTCAGCGTCTAGTCCCAACCAATTGGAAGAAATGGAACCCTGCGAGCCTTGTCGAGCCGGCATTATAGATAAGTCTACCGTTGCCGTGGCTTCACACTATCTCCCAAATTTGTCTGCCCGCCTAGCTCAATCGGATAGAGCGTCAGACTCTTATATGTGTGAGGTGATTCTGCAATCTGAAGGCTGCGAGTTCGACCCTCGCGGTGGGCTAATGTGTTTATGTTTTGGCTCCGCATTCTAAAGTAAATACTGGGCACGATTTAAGAAATTTTAGTGTTTCCGCATTCATTTTGCGTTTTGTTTTTGCAATGGACGATGCCAACTGATGTGACCACGCCACACCAGTAATAACCAAGAAAACTAGGAACATTTTCATTTTCATTCGTTGAGAAATGAAAATATCCAGGTGTGCAAAAAAATGACGCGCTTGAGTGCCAGGGTAATATGATAAGAAATGTATGAGATTTGAGCGAGTAACGGTGGGGAGGACGCAAAAAAGGCGACTGGGGAAGGTAAGTAAACCTGACAGTTGGCATTTGGCACATCACAGGGGACTGATATCTTCACGTTAGGCAATTCGCCTCGCTGCGCTCGTAATGATATATCCCCTCAGAATCTCTGGAGTCGACGCCTCTGGGTCTCCCTGTTACAAGAGAACATGGATTATACTTTCAGTGTATGCTTTTGCCAAGACAGCTGTGCTGTTATGGAAGTGTTCCTTATCTTTCCCTCTCAATTCCTATCACTGACCAGTTGAATAGGCAACGACTGAGCCACGTACTAAAAGTTTCAGTGCTGGAATCCATATTCAAGACTAGTCGATAATAGTCATTACGAATTTCGGGCGAAGGGAATTCGGAGAAGACGACGCCGCTGCGACACAGACTGTACAATGAAGAGATGCAGGTCCCGCTGCAGTTTCATAAAACGCAGAAGGAAGACCGACTACCCGCAGACATTGAATGGCAGATCGGATTCGTAACATGCGGTATACGTAGTTGGGGGGGGAAGCATTAAGTTCTCACGCCGTCGACGCGCTTCGAGCCAAAGCTCGGCGGCACCCCGAATGACCACACGAGCTCGGAGCTGCCATTTCAAGTCGTCTTTTGAACCTTTTGACCTCAACCACAATTCCCTGGATCAATTTCTAGGACGTTATTTTATACTATTGGTACTATTTCCACGACCCGAACGCTACCGTAGTTACTTAACTACGTTCGTCCCAAAAAGGCGATGAACGCCCAACTACATGTTCCACCTTCATTCACCAAAGGCTACCCCTTCCCCTGCGTAGCAGTAGCAGCAGAAGCTGAGATTATCTTACAAGGGAATTGAGATACTGGATGCTCATCCTAGTTAGTAGTTTAGAAAAGGGGTCCTGGATAGTTGAGTGTGGTTCAAGCCCGAAAGTCGGAGGCCAGGCCAAGCCAAGCCCTAAAACGCCAAGCTCGACAGTAGAGTTTCATCAATGCTCGGCTTCAGGCTTTGACCGTAGGAGAAAGGCCCAAGCCCCGGACCGTCCAAGTCAAAGGCGGAAATGGATAGTTTTCACTAATTATTGCCAACTGGATGGTACCAGCGTTTGATTTGATACTGACAATCTGCGAGGTCAGATTGCCACCGCCCCGTTTGTCTTCGAGTGTTGCTTGTTCAGTTCCTGGATTCCTACTTTTTACCCACGTCGACTGCGGAAAGCGATGTGACATCGTAAGCGCTAGCTACATCGATTACTAAATAAAGCACTGGAATTTGTCTTGGTAGGTGTGGTATTAGGAGTGTAAGAAATATTTCCTCAATGTCCCTTTTTTGGCCGTGGGCATTGCTGTTCCCAGAAAATTTTGGGTCTTGCTCGCGGTGGCCCATTTCACTAGGTCGTTCATGAGAAAATGGTAGTAGTTTTGACGTATTCTCTAACAGTCAAGTACCTTTGGTTCTCGGGCTCATGATTCTCCACAGCCTTGGAATCTCAGTAAATAGATGTGTATAGCTCGAACAATGGGAAATTCCAGTACAGGAAAGGATGACGGCGATGTCACAGAGCACTCAGAGCCGGGCAGGGTATTATTTGAGCTGCTAACTAAGAAAATACGTATGACTGGTACGGCACTTTGGAGACTGTATATACGAGTTAGAACTCGCCTATATATGCCTTTGATTCATTGGTGTTTCCTGCCATTGGGTTTTTCTGTTTTTAACTGTAATCCGTAGAATCGTTTAGCTCGGGCAGAGGGAGTAACCTGGGCCTCGTAGCGAGAGCGTACTGACCACTAAACCATGTTCGAAGCGGCAGTGCATCACACCTTCTTCCTTACCACGTCCAGCAGTAACTTAGCAGTCATTTTTTCCGATTTCCCCTCGTGCACGCGAAAGATTGTTGGCCGCTATAGGAAATGCCCAGCATAACCAGACGGTCATCACTAGCCGCGAGCCTATGCAGCGCAGTTTTTTGTTTGCCCACCTCTTCTCGATACCATGGCACGACTCACCGTCACCATCCTCATCTGCATAAATGTCACCCTCCTATCCGAGATGATATACCTTAATTTTCACGATATTTTGGAGCATCGCCCGGGCCCTGCTCCTCAGTATCCGCTGGGAGGGATATCAAAACCTGGGCGACCGTCAGAGTCCAAGACGTACACCCATGCAGATTTCCTACCGATGAGCGAAGACTACGCTCTGGCGCGAAGCACTGCATGGGTGCCCTTGAGCCTGAGCAAGTGTACGGCTGGTATGCCAGCCCATTATGCGCCATGCGTAGCCCATAGGTTGGAGCAGAACGTGGTCTATGCAGAGGAGCTTCTCTACCCATCTTTCAAGATTCGCCAGCCTTATTTTTCCTCAAACGCGCACAAGGAGAGGTGGAGAGACGTCGCGATGGGGATCAAAGAGCGTGGGGTGCTACAGAATGACGGTTGGCTCGTGTATAAAGGTCAATCTGGACAAAATTTCGTGAGCCCATGATTTTCTGTCTAGGCTAGTACTTACAGAATAATTATAGGTGTTCGGAAACGTTCCTTACAGACACTCGGGAGGCTATGACGGCTGGTCGGCAGGTTCGTGTATGTCAGACCTCGTCTCTTCAGACGGCTTCAAAACGTATGACCCGTCTGAATTGCTGGAAAGATCCAACCCACCCACCATATATCGAAATGCGATGCTAGCCACCTCACCCGACTCGTACTCCTTCCAACACTATCTGGACCGTATCACTCACATCATCACTCAGGGTGCGCACCTCATAGATGGTAAGCGACCTCCCAGTATATTATCACAGGCCGACAGGGCAACCAGTTTGTACAGCAGCTCTGGGAAAGACTGGGCTTCGATGATAAGCACGTCCTGCACAGCGTAAACACAGATATATATGCCGAGAATATGATATTCTCATGTCGGGCGGTCCTGGTCCATCCGTTTCTCTCGTTGAGGACACTTGAGGCTTTTGGTATTGACTCGATGAAGGAGTCCTCAACCAGGAACAAGATGGGCGATTCCGAGTCGGTTTCTTGCCTGAACGCTGCTCACCCTGTCAAAATGACTAGATCATGTATATGACACGGTCCAACGATCGTGCAAAGAATGGCGGATGCAGGGTACTCAACGAAACAGAGCTCCTCGAGGCCATCCGTGCACTGCTCAGAGAGCGAGGCAAGGGCGAGGAAATCATCATCTTTGACGAGACGCAATACAGCTCTGCATCCGAACTCTTTGATTATTTCAACAAAAATGTCATGGCGGTTGTAGGCCCTCACGGTAGAGCCATGCATCATCACCGCTGGGTAGCCCGAGGTACGCTGGTCATAGAGATGATGCCGACGACGTTCACGTCCGTGGCGATATACGAAGAAGCATCGGTGCTTTCACAGACCTATGCTGCGCTAGTCGTTGAGCCCAGCTCCCCGGGAGGGCGGGATATGATCATCGACCCTGAAGATGTGACGAAGCTTCTGAGGGAGCATTTGGGCGTGCCGATGGGGAAACCGTGGCACGTGGGGTATTTGGCGGTAGAGGAGACAGACCAGCCGGGTGATGATCACCTTGCAGAGGACCCACTGAGGGCTAGCTACCAGTGGGGAGGAAAGGAGCTTGGATTTTGACTAGCGCTCGATCATAGGACAGTCCGAATGCTTGCGTTTGTAAACCCTGTCGGAATGTCAAATTGAGTGCTAGCATTTCAGTATTTAGCTTTAAGCCGAAGTTCGGGAAGCTTCAAGCCGTGTGAAGCCGCTCCGCCGGTACCGTGTATGTTCCTCGGCGCGACTTGACTTCCGCATTCGATCGATGGGGCTTCGTCCCGCTCGCTGTGACATCGAAATGGGAACCCAGATATCAAGCCATTTCGAGCCGCACCTATCAATCTTTGCTAGTTTCTATAGGCTCAATTTTATTCCATTAGACTATGATTGTCTGTAAGTACTTCAGCAGCATAAGTGGGGTACAGAGTGAGGAGAAAATATCGACTAGCAAGCAAGAGGGCATATTTAATGGCGTAAAAAGACGGGGTCGATGGTGTAAATGCAGTAGGAAGCGACGAGATGAAGGAAAGAGGTATTGACGACGTTACCGAGCCTCGAGCTTGGTTGGCGTCGGCCGCAAACCTTTTTTTTTCAATGAAGCCCTCCAGGTATCGGATATGGTGCAGCTCGCGTTTAAATGCAAGCAGGGTCGCGTTTTGGTTTGGCTCAATCTTGCTGCATGAATATCTGTGCGGCTCGACGGAACTTGTACTGGGAGCTCACTGCTTGTACCATGTTTGAAGGAAAAGAACAAGCGCGAGGCTTTGCTCGATATGATGAAGTGTTGTGGCCCAATGAGCATTGTTTAGAGACGCGAAATAGATTGTACATCAGTCTTCGAGCGTTAGATTACTCTGCTTGATCTTGGTAGACTGCGTTCTCAAAGTAAATCAGCAAGAAGGTCATGTTGCATGCAGATCAATTTTGTACGGATATTTGCGCGAAAACAAGCGAGTATTCAATCATTACGAGAGATGAGATTCAACAAAGGTCGGCTTGGTATCCTTGATATCGGCAGCTACTGGCGACAACGTGTTTATTTTCAGACCCCGATGGTACGGAAACACAAAGCTCGCAGCGCCGAGGACGGTGTTGAAGGGAACGAGCAACTGGCCATCGGCATGGGTGATGTACCTGCACGAAGCGACGTGAGCCAGCATTGGAATCAAGGAGGGCAAGGATGGACTCACTTTG